GGCCATGATGTGGGCAGAGTCCAAAAAGGTAAGTAATAACTGCTCCCCCCACACCGACCATTCAGCCTCAGGGAGCACCTCCAGGGGGGTTGTCCTTGCTAGGAAGGAGGCGCGGCGGCTGATGCGCGGGTAAGGAGGAGGAGGCTGAGTTGGGGGTCCATTTGGGCGAGGAGGGGCAATGGTTCCGCTGCTGCTGCAAGCCTCCCTCTCACCGCGCTTGCGCAGCCCTGGGCAGAGCCGATGGGGCTGCCAAGGACCTGAAGCCCCTCCTCCGAGATAGTGATGCCTGGGGTGCAGTGGAAGGTTCAACTCAACCGCCGAGGCTGACCAGACCGCGCACTTGGAAGGGTTGTGGACCAGTCCAAGTGTAGCCAACGCCGATGTGAGGTGGGTTGAAGGCCGCCGCGCAGGCAGGGGCCTCACCGAGGAGGGTGATGTTGTCCGCGTAGGCGAGCAGGACCACCTCTGGGTGCGCCGCTGCCGTGCCCGTGAGGCACGGGTGGATGCTTGCCGCTAACAGGAGCGGACCGAGCGGATCCCCTTGGCGCACTCCTCTGGCGCTCTGCAGCGGGGCAGCGCCAAAGTCGTGATCGAGGTATAGCGAGGAAGGGGTGCCGTACGAGAGGCGGACCAGAGGGATGAGGTTCTCCAGAGCCTCGTTCATTAAACCCTCGAATACTGCTCTCCGCTCCACAGCGTTGAAAGCGTTCGCGAGGTCTATCTGCAGCGCCACTGCTTCCGGGTGGACTTCCAAGTACATGCGCGCCGTGTGGATTGCTGCTTCGATTCCCCCCGCTATTGCTACTCCGAACTTCAAGGGGGCGAAGTGACCTCGTGCGGCTGGAACTGTGAGGAAAAGGGCCGCTTTAGCAATGATGCGGAGGAGGCACTCCCCCACTGCAATCGGCCTCGTTCTGCCTTGGGGTTTCGTGAAGGCCAGGAGGCGGGAGGCCGTGAGGAGCTCTGCTGCAACGATGCATAGTTTCCCTGCCAGTGCCGTGTTGGTGAGGGCCAACAGGTGAGTGAACACCTCCTGGTTCCCTAGTGCCGCGTCTCTGATGTGCTCAAAGGTGGTGCCTGAAGGGCCCGCACCAACTCCGTTAGGGAGTTTCCCGATAAGCCGCCTGAAGTCGCGAGGCTCTACAGCGGGTGGGTTTTCGGTGGTGTGTAGGCGTGAGACCACTCAGGTAAGTTCAGCTGGGCCGGTGGGTGCCTTGTTGTGAGCGCCTCTAGCACTTCAGGTGATGCAGGTGAAACAGGCGTGGCTTGTAGGGACTGGAGGGATTTGGACAGATTCCCTCGCTTCGCCAGTCCTTCTGCTCTAGCGAGTATCCCTGTTGTGTCAGGAGCGTGGCGAGGTTGGGGAGGGAGGGAGATTGCTTGGACTGCCTCTTCGTACAGGCCGGCCCAGAGCCCTTGGCGAAATCTGACAAGGCGGCACATCATCGCCTTCCAATCGGGCTTTCACGAAGACAAGGTGCGTAGTAAAATTCGCGGGAGAAATGTCAGCAGTTTCCAGGCTGACGCGGACTCCGGATTGGCTGCCAGGTGGAGCAATGGTGTTAACAGACATACTGCGAAGGACTCGCGATGGTCCTTAGGTGGGTGGCGGCCTTCTCTCTCTCTCTCTCTCTCTCTCTCTCTCTCTCTCTCTCTCTCTCTCTCTCTCTCTCTCTCTCTCTCTCTCTCTCGAATGGTCCTTGCATTACTATGAGGGGTGGTACAATGGAAGATGCAGAACACACGAGCACAACAAACATCCAAACCGAGATCCAAACTACCTCAAGTCTCCTACCTACTCAGCCCCTTCCCCCTCTGTCTGACCCTACTGGTCGAACGGGGCCTCAATCAACTGGTGCAGCTGTCCCTCACTGAGAGGGATGATGGGTCCTCTAAAGCCGAGCTCGTCCGCCGCCAAGGCCTCGTTGGTCTTGGTGCGGAGGGCGTTGGCCTGCGCCCGCTGGAGGCACACGCTCCAGCGCTGGCGGTACTCTGTCAGCAGCTTCGCTGCTTCGTAGGAGGTTAAACCGCGGCTTTGTTGCCAGCTCTGCGCACTGCCGCAGGTAAGCCATCACCCCCGGCGAGGGGTAGCCATAGGTTTCCACTGCAAGCGCGTGGAACCCCACCCACGCGTTCCGCCGTGCGTACTTATCCTCTTTTTTCTCTGCCGCCGCCCTGGCCGCCCATCCAGGAGCTCGGTTGCAGTTCTCGTCCTGCCTTGACACCGGGTCCGTCACGGTCACGTCGCACATCCAAACCTCACCAGTCAGGGGATGACGGATGGTGACATCCGCCTTTAGGTTTTCGACCAGTGAGTAGACATACGTCTCCTTGTGAACCGTAAACCCCGCCTCCGCCCCAATGTTCGCTATCTCATCCCGCAGAGCGTGGTGGGTTGCGGTCCTCCCTTTCCCCTTCTCGCAGCGCATGAGGTGGTTGGGGAGGCGGTCGTCGGGGAAGGTGGTGCGGTAGTGGCAGTCACAGCGTCTAGGCACGGGGAGGGGGAGGCTTAGGCGGAAGGCAGCTGCAGTTGAGAGCTGGGACGGGCCCATCCAGAGCGAGGGGGTGAGCGGGATCGCCAGCAGCCAATCCCCCGCGCCTGGGCCCAGCACCGACTGCATCCGTTGCGCATGGCCAGAGCGGGGGTTGGGGCGCATCCTCCTTGCCTCTCGCATGACTCTCAGGAAGCGGCGGGAGTGAACCGCCAGTGCTAGGTTCTGCTGCAGCTTCAGTCCCTTGGGGTCAGCCTTCCCGGCCTGGAGCACCTCGAGGGCCTCGGGGGGCAGGGCTGCCTCGGCCGCGGCGAGGCGTGCAGGTAGCGCATGTGGGGAGCCGTGGGTTGGGTCCAAAAGGGGGAGGAGCGCGGCGACAGCGGGGTGCAGCGAGTCCTTCAGGGAGTGCAAGAGGTGGGCTGTGCTGATCACTGAGGCGAGGTAGGCATAGCTGCCTTCAACGGCAGGGTCAGTGATGCCCAGGCCTCCCAAAGTCACTGGCAGGGCCGCCTGCCGCCAAATCCTCCGTCTCTCCCTGGCGCTCCTCGGCCTCATGATGTGGGCCGAGTCGAGGAAGGTGTGAAGGAGTTGTTCCCCCCAAGCGGACCATTCGGCTTCAGGGAGGGCCTCTAGGGGGGTGCATCTGGCCAGGAAGGAAGCTCGGCGGCTGACACAGCGGGTGAGGAGGAGGAGGGCAAGTTGGGGGTCCATCTGGGCCAGCAAAGGGAGAGGCGCTGCTGCTGCTCCCAATCTCGCTCTCACTGCATCTGCGCAGCCTCAGGCAGTGCCCACGGGGCTGCTGAGAATCTGTAAACCCCCCCAGAGATGTTGACGCCTGGGGGGACTGACGAGGCGTCGATTGCTGCGGCGGACCACGCCGCGCACTTAGCCGGGTTGTGCACCAGGCCAAGGGCGGCTAAGGCAGAAGTGAGGTGGTCGAAAGCTGCAGAGCAGGCCGTGGCGTCGCCGAGCAGCGTGATATCATCGGCGTACGCCAGCAGGACCACCTGAGGGTGTGCAGCCGCCGTGTCCATGAGGCACGGGTGGATGCTAGCCGCGAACAGGAGTGGGCCGAGCGGGTCTCCTTGGCGAACCCCCCTGGCGCTCTGCAGCGGGGCTGCGCTGAAGTCGTGGTCGAGGAAGAGCGAGGAGGGAGTCCCATAGGAAAGGCGGACGAGGGGAATCAGTTCCTTCAGCGCCTCGTTTTTCAGTCCTTCAAATACCGCCCTCCTTTTGACCGCGTTGAACGCATTCGCGAGGTCAATCTGCAGTGCCACCGCCCCTGGGTGCACTTCCAGGTACGTGCGAGCGGTGTGGATAGCCGCTTCGATCCCTCCTGCTACTGCGACTCCGAACTGAAGCGGAGCAAAATGGGTACGTGCGGCCGGCGCAGTGAGGAAGAGCGCGGCTTTTGCTATTATCCGGAGAAGGCACTCCCCCACCGCAATCGGCCGTGTCCCTCCCTGTGGTTTCGTAAATGCTAACAGGCGGGATGCCGTTAGAAGATCCCCAGCGACTGTGGGGAGTTTTCCTGCTAGAGCTGTGTTGGTGAGTGCAAGGAGGTGGATGAGTACTTCGGCGTTGCCCAGGGCTGCGTCACGGATGTGCTCGAAGGTTGTTCAAGATGGGCCGGCCCCTACTCCGTTGGGGAGTTTGTCTAGGAGGCGTCTGAAGTCGCGAGCATCGATAGTGGGTGGGTCCTCCGCTGTGGCAGAGTGGAGCCAATCGGGAAGTGGTTGGCTGGCGGGTGGGTGTCTCGTCGTGAGGGCTTCCAACACTTCAGGTGAGGCGGGAGACACAGGAGTGGCCTGGAGGGATTGGAGTGATTTCGACAGGTTACCCCGTTTTGCGAGTCCTTCTGCCCGTGCCAGTATCCCTGTTGTGTCAGGTGAGTGGCGAGGTTGCGGTGGCAGTGAGATCGCCTGGACAGCTTCATCGTACAGGTCCCCCCAGAGGCCTTGGCGAAATCGCTGGAGCCGATTCATCATCGCGCTCCAGTCAGGTTTGCGGGCTGACAAGGTGCGGAGGAGTAAGCGCGGGAGAAAAATCAGTAAGTTCCATCCTGGTGGAGACTTAGGATTGGCCGCCAGGTGGAGTAACGGAGTTAACATGCAGATCGCGAAGGAGTCGCGAAGGTCTTTGGGGGGGTGTCGAGCGAGGGGAGGTTGGCGACTGTCGCGCAGCCGGTCAAGGTTCCAGTCTGCAACCTGAGCGAAAAGGTCAGTATTTTTCGCCAGGTCGTCAAGTTTGAGCGTTGGTGGGGTTGGGGAGGGGCCTGCAGAATTATCATTGGCTGCTGCAGAGTCAATTCCGTCTTCTGTCGCGGCTCGATTTCCCCCCCTTGCACGATTTCCCCCTGCGGTTCGATTTCGACCTGTGGTACGGGTTGCAGGTTCGTTCCGGGCCTGATGGTTTGGAAACTCCGCTTCCCTAAGTAGCATCTCCAATTCTTCCTCGTCCTCGGCTTCTGCTTCCAACATCCCCTCTCTTTCTGGGTTAAAAACAGGGTCACCCCCCTTCGCTTTCTTCATTCTCAGCTTCGTCCTCCGCCTCCTCGCTGTGCTCCTCCTCGCCGCCTTCCACGCCTTCGCGTATTAGCCGTTCGGCAGTTCTCGCGTAACCGCTTGCGCCGGTGCGGTGCCGATTCGTGCCGCGTGCTCCTCCACCTCTTCGTCCTCTCCCGTTCCCTCGTCGTCCGCGGCGGCTGCTGCCGCGTCCCACGCGGATACCCCGCGTTCCTCTCCCTCCCGCGGCTCCCACGTGCCCTGCCTGCGGCGCCACGTCCACCTCGTCCTCGTTCTGTCGGCGCGCTGGCGTCGGCTGCGGTGCGGTCGGGGGTGATGGATCCATCCGCGAGACGGGATCCGGAGCTCGAGGGATCCGTGGAGAGCGCGTTGCCGGAGCCTGCGCCTGGCGTTCTTCGCCCGCGTGTCCTTGCGCACCCCTTTGCAAGCGAGCCCGTCCGCCGCTTCGACCGGGTGCTGACTCTTCCCCAACGGCCTGCCCCGCGCCCCACCTCGCCGGAGTATTCGTGGGCCCCTGCGCGTGTTGCGTCGAACCGCCCGGACGGTCAGCCACGGCAGGAGCGCGGGCGCTCGCCTCTGCGTCAGCCTCCGCGGCAGCCCTCTCCTCGGCGCCCGTCTCCTGAGCATCGCGAGGCTCATCCGCGGGGTGAGGGCGATCGGCGATCCCCTGGGCGTCCTCATTCTCCTCGCCACCCGTCTCCTCGTGGTCGGGCAGGCCAGCGCTCACCCCGAGCGCGATCCCCCGCGCAACGGTCTCCGCGGCGATCTCCGGTGACGAGGGGGAGGGGGTCGCCTGGACGTCGCTGGGATTCGGGGCGTCGCGAGCAGACCCCCCCGCGTCCTCAATCGGCAGGTTCGGGCGGCCGGCAAGGCCGGCGGAATGGCGGAGGTCGTGGCGGTAATGGGCGCCAGCAGGATCCTGCTCTTGATCACGCCGCCGACACGTTTGTGGAGGTGGTGCGGCAGGCCCGGGCGAGTGGGGGGCCGACTCACGTCCATATAGAACTGACCAACGGTCCCCCCTTCGCCGCGGACCCAGGCCAGGTTGCTCCTCTGCGCGCGCCAACGCTGAGCGAGTATCGGCCTGTGCGAGAGGGGAGGGACTCAGTTCCGTACCCCCCGTCAGGTCCTCGGCTTCTCTGCGCCGCGCTTGTCTGTTGGCCGAACTCCAGGCTGGCCGACGGCGTATCCGCGCGAAGCGCCGACTGCACCTCCCCCCACTCGCGCGGGGAGAGACCCCATGCTGACCATGTGCCGGGTTCTGAATCTGGCGGAGGCGTGCGAGGTGGTGGCGAACTTGCAGCTGGCGGTGTGTGGGGCCACGCGGAGCTTTCCGAGCAGTTTCGGTCCAGGGTCCCGAGGATCCTGCGTGACTTTGGCAGAATCGCTTGAGTCGCCGTTGGCACCCGTGTCGGATGCGCCCGCCGGGGTAGCTCCCTTAGCCCGTACTTTCCCCCGCCACGTGGGGGATCTTGTAGGGGCTGCTCAAGCCGGGACCCCCTTGGACACGCTCCAGTCATCGGCGCATCTCCTTCTTGCAGTATCGGCGTGCATGCGCTCGATGCTTGAGGTGGAGGGGGCGGAGCCGTACACAATATAGACAACCGCTGTTGTGTGGCTGGCTGTGGCCTGCTGTGTGGCTATATCTGCTTTCTACCCAGCTTGACTTCCTTTTGAAGTCTTAACTTCTGTGTCTTCAATATTTATGACTTTCTCCATTTGTGTGTTCACTCTGCTTCCGCTCTTGCATCTTTGCTTTCTCGTTTGGCATCAGGAGTTTTTTTATTTCACTGCCATCCCTTACATGTTTCATCCTGTTCCAGAGATCTTTCATCCAACCTGTTTTCAGGCAGCATCCCTGCTAGCGTCAGTGATCTTAATCGCCTGAGCACCCTGTGAGTTTGGACAGAGAGCATGTCCCTGTATCCGCTTCTCATGCCTCTCCTTTTCCCCACCTCAAATGGTCCAGACTAGAGCCGAGGGTATGAATGAGTCCCAGCTGGGCCCAGATTTTGGCTGAGTGGGTTGAGAGAGGCGGGAAAGGTTCTGTACCAATTTTGTAGCTCTCTGCTGTGTGGCTGTGGCCTGCAGCACTTGCGTACATGGCCAATGATTGAGGAGCATTTGGAATGCAAAGTCTAGCTGAACCGTCCCCTTCCTCTTGACTTCATATCTGTGCCTTCACTTTGTCTTCGCCTTGGTTATCCTACTTCCATAGCTCAACTTCTTATCCCAGCTTTACCATTTGCCATCAGCACCTTCTGTTCTCTGCTATCTGCTTCATGTTTCATCCTGTTCCAGAGACTTTTCTTCCAACCAGCTATCCGGCAGCATCCCTGTTGGCATCAGTGAACTTATCAGTTTGAGTACCTTGTAAGATTGGCAGGAGACCATGGCAAGATTGATGCCTTGTGATCACAGCCGGAATTTCAGAAATGCGATTAGAATGTGAGAGGGAATTTCAGAAATGCGATTAGAATGTGAGAGGGAATTTCAGAAATGCGATTAGAATGTGAGAGGGAATTTCAGAAATGCGATTAGAATGTGAGAGATGGAACTGGAATGTGGGTGAAAATGGAATGGGAGAGGTACGCCCATCCGAAATCCTCGTGTTCCTCTTACTTACTGTGCGTGCAATCCTATTGTACTGATCCGCTGTTCTTGGTCCCATATTCTTTCTGCTTCAAACCTCTCAAGATACCTCTCTTAGGCCCTTCCTTGCTTTTTCTCAGCCCCTAGGGATGAGCAAGGAGCGAACACAAACGTGTTCGCGTTTGCCCATGCACGAACACCCCTGTTCGGCGAACCGAACACTGTTCGGTTCGGCGAACACCTTAAGCAAAAGCAGGTGTTCGCCGTTCGCCTATGAAGGCGTGTTCGGGCGAACCTCGAACACGTTCGTGTTCGTCTAGGGGCAAATTGCAGCAGCGGCCCAAGGCGAACCGAACAGGTGTTCGTTTTTTTGCTCATCCCTATCAGCCCCTGCCTTCTTCTCTTCGTCCCTGCCTCCACATCAGTTATCACACTACGAATGTGCTTCGTTTGTCCAATCCCGTCTGCTGTGATTTTCTGTGCGTGCTTCATCAACACAGTTCTTTACGCAACAACCAGCTCACAGGCTTGATCCCCTCTGGTATCCGCTCCCTTTCAGACCTAAAAACCCTGTAAGTCCTGATGTTGGGTATATTTAGCTCGATTGGCCCTGATGCATATTGATGACTTGGACTAGTGAGATTATCTAAAACCTTGAAAATGTGGTTGTGAGAATGTTCGAGTGAGGCTTTTACACGAGTAGAGCGATTCAGAAGAAAAGTTATAAGCAGCTATGTACAGCCCTTTGGCTTGGCCATGAACATTGGCTTCACTTAACCAACCCACCATTGTGTACTGACTACGCAGAGCCAGATTGTCCCGGCGGTCTGAGTGGATGTTACTGCACAGGTCCTCAAAATGTTTTAGTACCTTCGAAATTCACAGGCGGCACATGTCTAGGAGGCATTTGGAACGCATGCCAAAGGTGCATGCCCATGTCATGCCCTCTGCACTCCCTGCCGTGCTACTGCTACCTCATTTGTTTGAAGCCACTCTAGCAGTTTCTGTTTGTCTAGCTGATTCTCTTCCTCTTTCTCTGCTGCTGCTACCGCTGCTTCAGCCGCTGTTGTTGCCACCACCACCACTGCGATCACTAGCGCCACCCATACCACTTTGACCAGAGCTCCTTGTGTGGTTATCACCAGAGATGTGTTTGAGCACACCCATCCCGTTCTCATATACCTCGCTACCACCCCCCCTTGTAACGCTGCTGCTTACAGGAACTTAGCCATGAACGACCTGTCGGGCTCCATCCCATCGGAATTTAGTTCCCTAAGAAAGCTCATTAGCATGTAAGCCCTCCTGGGACGAGCTGCCATCATTCTAGTGTTAGTGTTAGCCTTCAATGTCACACTTTGTACTTTGTATTTTCTATATCCTAGAGTAGTGTAGTTTGCACATTGTGTTTGGTTGGGTGTACACCTACATCCCAACCAAACCCAAATGTAATCTCCAAGCAATCTCCAACCCACCAATTGGAGATTGCCTTGGGATTACCCCTAATCCCTAGGATTTCCCCCGATTCCCTTCCCCATCCATTCCCTCCCCTTCTTGGATGTATTTAAAGAGCTTCAAGCTCATTACTAATGCATCGCTTCTAAGCCTAAGTTCTAAGATCTAGTCCTGTCTGCCGATGCTCAGGATGTTCTGCTCTTGCCCTGTCACACCTTTCTATGCAACCGCTCTTTTATTTTTACCTTTGATTTCTACATCGTCACACAGTCCCCTTTTAACATTTGAAGTGCACGCTCGTTGTCCATAATGTACTCTTCCTTTCCAGACACCTCTTATGCTCTATCCCAATAGCCCCCCCGTGTGTCCCATTTATCTCCTCTCTGCATGGCAGGGATCTAAGGCTGAACAAGCTGACGGGACCCATCCCAGACAGCCTCTTTGAATTGACAGGTCTCCACGAGCTGTAAGGCGAAGCCTGATGCGTTTAGAAACCTTGTGCGCCAAGGAGTGACATGAGGGTTGAATAATAGGAAGCATAACATGCATGTACGGATGTTGGAATGACCCTGGGTAATGGAGAATTGCAATAAACAACCAGGAAAATCCAATAGTCCATGGGCGTTCAATACACATCAAAGTTCTTCAATGTTCAAACTGATTACATTTTATTGCCATAGCTTCCTTAGGAGCCACGAAGGAGCCTTGCCATGAATAACACCTACTGTTTATACTCTACCAACAATTGTCACCATGGTATCTTGCCACCATGGGCACGGCATGCTCTTTCATTTTTAACAGGGAGATCCTAATGAGTCTCCACTCTACCATCCTTTCTGATTTCGGGCTTCACAAAAATAGTGCTGTCTCCTCTCAATTTCTCTCCTCTGATTTCATCTAATCTTATCTGCTCTCCTCTCCTCTCATCTGCTCCTCCCTTTTTATCTCCCCTCCTCTCTTCTCTTTGCTCCCCTCCTCTCCTCTACCCTTCTCTCCTCCCCTCTCCTCTCTGCACCTCACCTCTCCTCTGCCATGTGTGCATGCACACGTGCTTGTCAAATGCCATTCCTCCACACGCCTTCACCATGCCTTCACTGTGATGGCTCTCAGATCTCTAGCCAACAACCATCTGTTTGGAAGCATTCCAGACAATGTCACTTTGCTCGCGAACCTCAAATTTTTGTAAGTGATGCCCGTTCATTCACATACATGCGCCTGCACTCACACCCGTGTTTTTCTCTCTGGTGAGTGCACTCGTCTGATCAAAACAAACTCTCTAGACAACTGCTGCTTAACCCAAGAATCACCTACCTTGCTCTAGAGCATGCTGCTAATCCTTACATGCTTCGTCCTCACATACTCGAGTCAAACAATCACAACTCCAAGGCACAATGGGAAGACAAATTATGTCCTTAGGCAAGAACACAGTAACGTTTCAATAGACCAGAACAATGTCCTTTTCCAAGGATAAGGTCTAGTGCAAATCCCAGCTAGGTAGTGAGCCATATGTTGCACGGGCTTGCCACACTGGAACATGGAATCGTATGGCACACCACAGGTGCCAGCAAGGTGAGGATGGGATGGGTGGACATTTGGCAATGCCAACCACTTGAGAAAGGTTGGTGGTGACAACGTGGAGTAGAGGTGAGGGCCTATCATGTGGGACATACTTAATGTGAATGTAAGAGAACCTGGCTTACAGAATGTTGTCATTTCCAGGACCAATGTAATCGCACTGGTGCTCTCTCGATTGTTTTCACAACTGTTAACATTTTCGGTCCACTGAGATGGCTACCGTTATCTTCAATCCTGTCCTCCCACCTGCACAGCATATTCACCTGCTTGTATCTGACAACAACCACATATGGTATGTGTCTCTAAAATGTTGTCGTCACAAAAATCATATGACCAGAAACCTATTGTAAAAAGTTGTGGTGAAGTATTTTCAAATGCTTTTAAAACGTAGGGGCCAAAACGCTTTTCGGTGAAAGTATAAACATTTTTTCGAATGCTTTGTCGAATGCTTTGCAGGTGATGACATGTTTGTATTACCTTCAGATTAGGGTCTGTCTGAGTTTCTTCGGAGATGTATAAGACTTCGTTCGGAGAGTTCAGGGAGATTACTTTCCACTCATATACTCTTTAGCAGAGCTTAGGACCAAAGTTCAAGAAGATTGTATATGAACCTTTATCAAGTGATTCTCGTTGTTTGATGGAAGGTCTATTAGCCATTCTTAGGTGTACACGCACATCATGAATGCATTGCTCAATGATTATTAATCTCATTACAGAGTTGGCTTGGCACACAAAACAGCTGCCTAAACACGCGTTGCGTAGTCCTGCTAGGGTGGATTAATCTGCACCATCCTCCTACCTACTTCGCAAGCCATCATCGGATGCAGCCCCGCCCCATCTCTCCAGCTCTTGGCCTAGAGAGTTCTTGACTACAGATACTGCTCCATCTAATGCTAACCTG